GCATATATGCCCTTTATTATATTGAGGAATTTCCCTTCTATTCCTATTTTGCTGAGAGTTTTGATCAGGAATGGGTGTTGGATTTTGTCAAATGCCTTTTCTGTTTGATTGATATGATTATGTGGTTCTTTTCCTTTGTTTTATTTAGCCGATGGATGAAATTGATTGTTTTCCTAATGTTGAACCATCCTTGCATACCTATTGTAAAACCCACTTGGTCCTAATGTATTATTTTTTGATAGGTTGTTAAGAGTCTATTGGCTAGGATTTTGTTGAGGATTTTTGCATCTGTATTCATGAGGGATATTGGTCTGTTTGTTGTTGTTGTTGTTTTGTGCCGTTGAGTCGGATCCTACTCATAGTGACAACTCCTTGGGTTTCCGAGGCATTATCACTACGGGAGTAGATTGCCCAACCTCCCTTCTGAGGAGTGGCTGGTGGGTTTGAACTGCCAGCCGTCTGGTTAGCGTCAAATGCCTTAGGCAGTATGCTACCAGAGCTCCTATTGGTCTGTAGTTTTCCTTTTGAGTGATGTCTTTGCCTGGTTTTGGTATCAAGGTTATGCTTGCTTCATAAAATGAGTTAGGGAGGATTCCATCCTTTTCTATGTTTTCGAATAGTTTGAGTAGTGTTGGTGTCAGTTCTTTGAACGTTTGGTAAAATTCACCAGTGAAACTGTCTGGGCCTGGCCTTTTTTTCAGCCTTTATTGTGATTTGGGTGGAAGTATACGGAGCAAATTCATCATCCATACAGCAGTTCATGTATACTTTGTGTTATGACATTGACTGCAATCCTCCACGGTGTAACAGCTCTCCTCCCACTTTCTCTCTGTGGTAGTTCAGTTTGTGTGTAAACTTGGCTGAGCCTGGTTGAGTGGCTGGGCAGCTGGATGTAGTATTTCCCATGATGAAACTGGTAATCAACTCCATGGTGGAATCTACTGAGCAGCTGAGTAGCTGCCTTGGGGGTGTCATCTACTTCCTGTATATAAGCAGAAGCATTGGGGAACAGTCTCTAGCTTAGGTGTGCTTGAACCCTGCATGTAGTCGTGTCATTGTTCAGCAGCCTGCTGTGCTCTGCTGACCTTGGGACTCTCAGTGGACTTGAATTAATGTCCTGCTGTGTGGTTTGGTAACATCAGAACTGTGCCTTTTTATTTATCAACCTTGGCTTACCAGTCTCAGCAGCTAGCAGCTGTCTGAGTGAAGAAAAGCCTCTATCTAGCTCCAGTGGGCCAGGAGCAGGAGGCAGAGCTAAACCCCAAGGTTGAGGGGATTTCACCCAGTCCCTAGAGCCTGGCACTTTGAACTTGGTCTTAAAGCCTCCAAACTGTAGGAGAATCAATTCCTGTTCTTTCAAGCCATCCCATTTGTGATATATTCTTGTCAGAGTGGCACTAGGTAACCAGAACACTCCCCATAGCCACCTCTTCCCTGTGTCCTTTCTCCCATGCATTCCTGCCCCTCAAGCTGTCTCCCTGATTATACACAGCCCTTCTATTCTCCCATGATTGATCTCTCCAAGAAGTATATCTACTTAATCCATATGTTCAGCTCAATATGTCTTTTGTTTGGCTGGCAGCCACAGGAGTAGGTTCAATTCCAGATCTGAAGGGCAGTTAGGCTGAGCCATTGTCTCAGGGGTTCCACCAGGCTCGATCAGACCAGCAACCCTGGCCTTTTTTTAATGATTTTGACTTTTGTTCCACATTGTTTGCCCACTCTATCCAATATCTCCTACATAGATCCCCCTCTGCATGGTTGACAGAGGGAGCCAGGCACCATCTAGTTATTCTGGTCTCATCATCGTGTAGGCTGAGGATTGCATGGTGTACCCACAGGACTTTTTTGTTGTTGATAATTTTTTTAGGACCTGTTCAATTTCTTCTTTTGTTATTGGTCTGTTCAACTTTTGACCACAGTCAGTCTGTGTTAGTTAAGGTAACTAGTGTCATTCTAGAAATTTGTCCATCTCTTCTAGATTTTCAAATTTGTTGAAGTACAGTTCTTCATGGTAATCTTGATACTATCTTTTTTATTTCAGTTGGTTCTGTTGTGATGTTGCCCAATTCATTTCCTATACATGTTATTTGTATTCTCTTCCTTTTTTCCTTTGTTAAATTTGCTGGTGCTTTGTCAATTGATTTCTGCTCAAATCTTTATTATTTCCTTTCTTTTGGTGACTGTAGGCTTTTATAGCTGTTCTTTTTCTAATAGATGGAGATGTTGGTTTAAGGTGTTGATTTTGGCTCTTCTTTTTTAATGTGTGCATTTATTGCTGTAAACTGGCCTCTGATCATTGCTTTTGCTGTGACCGATAGATTTGGGTATGTGGTGTTTTCATTCTCATTTGATTCAAGGAATTTTAATTTCATTTTTTATTTCTTCTCTTACCCATTCTTTCTTAAGGAGGGGGTTGTTCGTTTTCCATGTGTTTGCTCTTTCTCTGTTGATCTTCCTATTGTTGATTTCTAATTTTTTTTATTTCAAGAGCTTGTTTTACATTCAATGTAATGTGTACATTTAGTTTCATTCCCCATTCGCCATGTCCAACCCTAACCCAGTCTCTTCCCCTCCCTGACCTGCAGCTCTCCTCCTGTGTGCCTCTTTTTTTTTTGCAGATGTAGTTTTTATTTTATTTTTTTATTGTGATTTGGGTGAAGATTTACAGAGCAAATTCATTTTCCATACAGCAGTTCACATATACTTTGTCGCATGTCATTGACCACAGTTTACCACAATGCAACAGCTCCCCTCCTACTTCTTCCCCATAGTTACCTCTTCCCAGTGTCCATCCCTCCATACTCTCCTGCGCCCTGAGCTGTGTCCCTGTGCATAAGCAGCCCTTCTTTCTCC